GAGAGAGAGAGAAAATACCTCCCCCAAGGGCATGGTCACACCTCAATCTTTTCTCCTCCTTTTTTCCCTCCTTTTGAGATTTTGGGGACACATGCACACGTACTGGTGTGTTTCTCCAGCCTCTGGGTCCAGGATTCAAACCACATAATCGACCATGTGGGATCCAGCTGTCCATCATGCCAGAGGCTGGCCCTGGGCTCTGTTTCACTCAGTGATTAACCTGAATATTTTACTGTAACATGTGATTTCTGTCTTTTTTTTTTTACATCTTACTTTACAATTCCCTCCTTGATGCTTCCTTGTTGTTTCCTTTGAGTTACTTTTTTTCCCCCTAAACTGACTGCTTTGCTTTTTCCCCTTTGGTAATTTCGAAGATAAGTTATTTTGCATTCTATTACTAATTACACTTAACATCTTTAAAAACACACTCTAACCTATATTTCTCTAATTAACCACAGAAACTATAAAACGCAATTTCTTGCAAGATGAGGAAATTAGCATATCTCCTTGTTCCAGCTTTACTTTTTATATCGGTATGATCTGGAATATTTTACCCTGGGGCTTGGGCAGGAGTGATAGCTTGTATCTTTTCTCCCAAGGAATATTTGTTACACTTGCATTCCATTTTATAACTATGTTTATAGCAATTACTGAGATTCATTACTATATTGGTTCATTTGCTCATTGCCAATCTTTTTTTTTTTTTTTTAATTAACCACAGCTTTTCCGTATTGGAGTTTCTCATTTTGCCACATCTCACACAGAAAACATCTCCAAGTGGTATTTTGTCAGTGTTATCGGAATAGTATTTTTTTGAGGCCTTTGCCAATTGAGAGCAGCCTTCTGTTGTCTGTGCGGTTTATAACTTACCTGGCCACACCCTTTTCTACGTAATTCAGGGCCACGCCTGCAGTGTGTCTAGGAGAAACGCCATGAGGCTCATGGCACAGTAGTTTTCACTGGTTTCTAGCCCTGACCTGTGTGTCCACCTCTTTTGTGGATTCTGTTGGTTGAGGTTCGACCTGGGATGGAGTTGAGAGACCTATGTGTTCTTCCATCTTCCTTTCAGATGGTTTCAGTCAAGCATTAGAGACTCGTTGATTCATTCATCAAATATCGCTCGAACACCCGCCATGTGCCAGGCGTTGTAGGAGCCACTAGGGATTCGGCGGAACCAGCCAGACCCTATTTCTGCACTCACAGAGTATCTGTTTATGTGTTGGGTAGAGGGAGGAACCAAACGCACATGATTAAACAAGTTACAGGTCATTTTAGCCCATGATAAGCATAGCTACCAGATGCAGCTGCTCAAATTGCAAGATCCTCCCCCTGGAAAACAGCTATAAAGAAAAAAGAGGGATTGGCCGCACAGAGCAGCAGCATTGTACAGAAGAGGCTGGATCCCCGTGGCTGACCAGGTTCAAGCCCTGGCCCCAGTGGCTTACCCGCCAGGCACTTGTGCTCAGAAGCCCACAGTCTTGATGGGCAGGAGATCTGGAGGAAAAAGGATTGTTTGTGAGCAGGCCCCACTGGGGGGTTCTTTCTCCCTCTTTTTCTCACTCCGTCATGTGCATGCGGGCATCCTCTGACATCATAAAAGAAAAAGAAAAAAGAAAGTAATCGAGTGGTGGAGTGGGGGCTGGGGGCTCGGATGTCAGAGCGTAAATCCTCCAGGCCCAGGCCGCCTCCCTCCTCCACAGCACGCTTGTCTCCAGTGCGCCTCGGGCTTGTCGACAGGCGCACGATTTGCCCCTTCTTTGTCCTTTTCTTTTCTTTTCTTTTCTTTTTTTTTTAAGTTTTTGCTGTCAGATGTGCGTGCTCATCAGAGGGGAGGGGAGTGGAAAATCACCCCCGTGGAGGGATGGCCGTGCCACAGTCCCTTCTCTCCGAATTGAGGGGATGCACAGACACACACCCAGTGTGGTTTCCAAGCTGCCAGGTCCGAGACTCAAACCATGCAGTTGGCCATGTGGGACCCACTGCTCTATCTTCCACACCTCCTGCCGGCCCGATCGGCCGCCTCTCTTCACGGTCATTGCCTTGGGTTAAGGTTCCTTGTCAGCTGTCTCGTAGCTCCCCACTGGCCCACTGCAAAGCTGGGGATGGAAAGGCCTGTGTAGGCATCCATGTCGTCTAGAGCCCCCCCAGTTCTATGGTGCAATTAACAGGTGCAGTTTCAGCAGATTCCAGGACCACCCCCGCACTCCACTGGCAGAGCCGGGCCCGTGGGTGGGGTTGTTCTCGGACTGGGAGATGGTCTGGAGGGGTGCTACGGACTTGGTCCCTGGACTCGAAGAACAAGCTTTGAGTTAGGTGCTAGCACTTACAGCCGCGAGACCCTGGCCGGTTACCGACCTCCGCGCACCTGTGTCTCGTCTTCAAATGTGGGGCGAGCCAGTTCCTACCTGGCCGTGTGCTGTGACCGTCAGACCGAGTAATTGATCCAAGTGCTGGGGATGGCGCCTGCCCCAGTAAACCTGCCGTGATTTATAATAATCATTACTATTGGCCAGATCTCGCGTTGCCTGTAAGCTTCTTCTTTCCTTTTTTAATTTTTTTGTTTTTATTGCTATAGGGTGCATGCACTCACTGGAGCTAGAGCACGCGAGAGAGAAAGCATCCCTCAGGGGAGCCATCAGGCCACAGGCCCTTTTCCTCCACTCCTGTTAGGATTTTGGACACACATATGCATAGGCCTGTCGTGTTTCTTAAGCCACCAGGTCTGGGACTTGAACCACTTAGTCGGCCATGTGGGATCCAGCCTCCTTAACTACCACACCACCTGACTGGCACACCTAAAAGCTTTTTTGTGTCCTTCCCTCCCTTTGGCTCAAATGTTTTCTATACTTGAAAAATACAGGGATTGCAGGAATGAGACTGAGCGTGTCTTAGAGACTAGACACCTTGCTAGAATTTCCACAGCAGGTTGCAAAGCAGTCCCTCATGCGGAAAAGGGAGAGTGGGTGTGCCTGGGAGGGTCAGGAAGGCGCTCACGGCAGGCAGTCACACGTCCCTCTGTTTACGAGTCTTTTTCCTTTGACAGACGTGATTTTGTTATTTTTCATCTTTGTTTCATTTTAATTAGCAAATTAAATACGATATTTACTTAGCTATCATCGTTAACACCAAACATCACGGCAAATGCTACAGAAAGACGTACTTGTTTACCCATATTGGGTTTTATGTTCTTTGTACTTTCATGGAGTAGAACATACTTAGGACCCTGTAGCATTTCCTGCATTTTTGCCAAAAAAAATTAAATGTGATTTCGTTAGGAAAAAAGACCTCCCCAGAACTTACTACCCTAGTACTGTTTTTATTTAGGGTCTCTTGTCCAGTCTTTATCCATCTATAAACAAATACTTAATAGCTATCATCAAAAGTACACATATAATTTTATGATGTGCTGATTTACTTAAAATGATGTTCAACATTTTTCTAACAGGTCATATTTATCACTTTAATGATTGCGTGCGAAGAACATCACATTAAAGGCTATTCTTCACCTCACATTATTGAGCTGACACGGTGGGGGTTTACATGGCTCTCTGTAATAAAAGTATGTCACTATAAACATCTTTGACCACGTGGCTCTTCTGCTTTTGAATTAATTTCTAGAGATTACTGAGTATTTGAATTGTCGTGTGGCTCTTAGTAAGTATTCAGATACTCCCTTCCAGAAGGACTATGTTGACTTCGCTCTGCACCTGGCGTGAACACATGCACGAACCTCCACGCGGCCCGGCAATACTGGCTCTTACCTTCCGTTTTTACCTTTTCCTGGTGAAATGGGCCGTTTTCATAGTCACCCCTTTTCTCTGGTGGGACCCCTCTGAGCACACTTCTTGGTCATCATGGCGGTTCTTGTGTAATTAGAGAGGCCCTCACTTGACCTCGGTGTTTCCCTGCCGGGGTTGTCGCATTGTTTCATCTTTTCGTCTTCCTCGTTCGGTTTGGTTTGGTGTTTTTGCTCGTTTGCTTTTCCATTTGCAGAACTCGCCTTGCCTCATCCTTATTCCAGGGCCTGTTAGTAACTGGCATGAAAAGGATTTAAGAGAAGGTTTTTCTGAAGAGCAGACCCCCGGGGTGGAGGGAAGGTATCAAGTCATGGGCAGGGTGACAAGGTGGGATGCACCAGGTTCTTCAGAGGCTTTGGGCTCTGAAAGATGGTGCTTCTGCCTTTCGCAGTCTCCCGTTTGGCGTGGTGCCGTAGCTGAGGGTTGTCAGAACCCCCTCGGCACGCCTGTCAGCCTGTCATTTCCCCGTCAAAAACATTTAAAGGAGAGGGAACCAGCAGTTAGCGTAATGGCTATGTCGCTGGACTCCCACGTAGTTGACCGCGGTTCACGTCCCGGACCCAGTGACTTAAAATTCACGCCGGGCGCATGTGCGTGCGTGCCCAAGATCCCGAGAGGAGAGTGGAGGAGAAGGGATTGCGGTGTGACCATCCCCCCTGGGGGGTGATTTCTCGCTTTCTGTCTCTGTCTCTCTCTGTCTGTCTGGCGAGCGCACGTGCCCTATAGCAAAAACCTCTCAAAAAAAAACCACACATTTGAAGGAGAGAGATGGACTCTGAGCGTCTCTACCTGGCCGCCACCTGGGGCTTGCCACAGCGGTGTCATTAAGCCAGGCCCTGCCCCACACCCACCCCTCCACCCCCTCTCAAACCAGGCTGAGGGCTCGGGCCTGTGACTGCACTGGACCTTGAGAGACACTTTCCCCCAAACACAAGGGACTGAACGCGGCAGACCCTGCCCAGGCCGAGGCTGATGGAGGGGAAATGGACAAGAGACCAGCCCCCACCTCTGCTGTCCTGCAGAGGGGCCCTCCAGTGCCCTGCCCCGAGAGGCCTAAGTATGTGTCCCTCTAGGTCAGAGCCCGCCAGTCCTCCCCCCCATGCTTCCCCGCTGCTGCCCTCCAGTCTAGGAAGGCAGCCCCCATGCCGAGGGCCGGGCAGGAAGCTGGGGCGCTTGCTGACCTCCCCTGCTCTTCTCTTGCAGTTTCCTGCTTCTTCAACTTCACCAGCCCCTCCGGGGTCGTCCTGTCTCCCAACTACCCAGACGACTACGGCAACCACCTCCACTGCGTCTGGCTCATCCTGGCCAGGCCCGAGAGCCGCATCCACCTGGCCTTCAATGACATCGACGTGGAGCCTCAGTTTGATTTCCTGGTCATCAAGGACGGGGCCACCGCTGAGGCCCCAGTTCTAGGCACCTTCTCGGGAAGCCAGCTGCCCTCGTCCATCACGAGCAGTGGCCACGTGGCCCGTCTCGAGTTCCAGACTGACCACTCCACGGGCAAGAGGGGCTTCAACATCACCTTTACCAGTGAGTCCCCTGTCTCCGAAGTGCCCCGTCAGGGAGCTGCTGTGGGTGCGCCACTCGCAAGGGTCTTAGGGGGCTGCAGGACCAGAGCCGGAGCTCCCAGCATGACCAGGCAAAAGCATACAGCGCCGACCACTGGGCAGGGCGCCCTTTACAGTGGAGTCACCTGTGGGGCGTTTACTTCCCATGGTGCAGTAGTAATGTGAAAGGAGCCGGGAACCTCATTTCCCTTCCCACTGGCCACCTCCCAGAAGGCCCAGCGAGAAGCAGGGAGGGCCAAGGGCAAGAAAGCCTCCGTCCTTCCCTCAGTTGTCCATGGCCTCTCTGCCCCGCCACCCCCACACACACCTGCTGACCGCCGGCCCTGCCGCGCCCGGTGGGCTGCTCACGCCTGCTTTGCGCAGTTGCTGTTCCAGCAGGAACGCGTTGGGCATCCTCTCCTCACGGCCCGCTCAGGGCCAAGTCCCAGGCCCCTTCTCTGGAAGCACCCTGAAGCTCAGCAGTGATGATTCTCATTTTTGTCTCGTGGGGCGGCCGGGACTGTGGGGCTGGGCAGAGCTTGGAGACCAAGGCTTGCAGGAAGGGCTTCGCGGGTCATGAGATGCTGTAAACTGAGTGAGCTTGGCCACGGGCAGTCAGGTGGGGCTGAGGCGGGGCCTGCCCGAGCAATGAACCAGATCTTTCTGCAGAGCCTGCTAGTGAAACCCACTCCCCAGCCCCCGGTGTGCCCCAGCCCCGGGCCTGCTCCTGCCCACAGTGACAGCTCAACCTGCTGGTGCTTCAGCAGGGC